CTCAGGCCAGTGGCAGATGGCCCCAGGGTAAGAGTCACAGATAGGACCGCATCCGCTTGCCATTATCACTGATAGAGCCGGCTAGACCAGACTGACTGGAATCGGCACGGCCAGGCCGGGAGGCAACCCTTCCGAATATCCGATTAGCCGGGCGAGCCGGGCCGGGCCCGGGCCCGGGGGCCGTATTGAGCCTGTCCGGCTGGTGGTTGGCGGCTATTGAGTACAGCAGTGTCGATGTTCCTGTAACCGGATCTGCCGCCCCCCTTCGATGAGTAAATTACATGGTACCATAAGATAATCAGAATAATTTCAGTTCTTAGCAAGTTTAAAATATTGTTCATTATTATCAATTCAATTATCAGCCAAATGCCATTTAATAATGTTATTGATGGTGAGTTTTAAAAAGATTGTTGCGGCGGTCGGGGATGATCCACCAGTTGGCACTGGGCAAGAGGAAGGGAAGAGAGGAGTGAAGATGGAGGGACAGGGAGTAGAGCAAGAGAGAGGACATAGAAAACTGCTCAATTCGAATTTGAACGGAGGCAAGAGCTTGTACAAATGTGATGGAGATCTGAGAAGGAGTGTACAAAGGTTAAGTTCACGCAAAAGATGTATCCTAATAGCTTCAGATAATGACCTCAACTTCATCCTCATCCAAACTGATTTCATTGATTTTCTTTGGTATTAATCACTGTCTTTCTGGTGTATTTGCCCATTTGCGCGTCCCTTCACTCTCACCACGTCATTGCTTGTTTCTGTCTAATGTTGTCGATGCAGAATGGACGAGCAAGTTGTTGCCTACGATGGGCCACATGAGGCGCAAGAGGAAAACGCACGCGGAAGGGGAAGGGGAAGGGGAAGGGGAAGGGGAAGGGGAAGGGGAAGGGGAGGGGGGAGGGGGGCAGGAAGAGGTCTCGGGCAAGCAAGGGGGCAAACCAACATGGAGGTCCCGAGGAGGGAGGAGGAAGTAGATGGATTTTCCGGAGCTCCGGTTGAAAGGTGAGCCCAGCAGTCGTCCTTGTCTCGGCTCAACATGTGCACTGAGCAGCTGTGGGTATTCCTCGGACGACTACAAGTTCATGGTCCAGACAATCCTGCAGTCCACTGGCGACCTGCTGCAAGTGAGGAGCCGGAGGAAAGGGGGAGGGAGATGAAAGCTGAACGAGGGGACTGTTTGCAGGCAAGGTTCATTCCGACCTGGAAGCAATTTTATCCCGATGTGCCGTTGGATTACAAGTCGTGGGGGTTTGCGAAGCTCGGCGAATATTTCGAGTCGATCTCTGATGTACGGTTGGACCTTTTGACTCTCGTGGGCTGAAGGAGCTGCTAGGTGGTGGAAAGCTACCGAATCCCCGACCAGACCGGATCGTACTTGCGCCTCCGTAGCAGCGGAGAAGTGGTAGGGACTTGAGGAATGCGCAACTGTGCTGACAAGACGCCGTAGACAACGAATGGGCATGTCGAGACTGGCGCCATGACGAGCGGCCTGATGGCTGGCGCTCTCACTGGAGTGATTGCCAACCGAACGGGTGCGTCATCTGTGCAGATGGAGGGGGACGTGACCAGGAGTAGGTGTTGACCCATCGGCGGTGGAGGCTTTCATCAAGCAGCCGAAGCTACAGTTCACTATTGACTGTCTCGTCAAGGAGTTCCAAAACTTTCAGCTGGGTGAGTGCAGTGGTTATCCCCATTACACGCTCATGCTGTGGTCAGAAAACCAAGAGGGCGCAATGAATGGAGCCAAGAGAGGAGCAGCCAAGAATGCGAAGAGACCGAAGAATGCAGGCAGAAGGGGAGGGTCTCAGCTTTACTCTGCTGAGTGAGCATAGCAGAACAAAGAATGCACCAGTTGAACCAAAGAGATATAAAGCTTCTGTTTCTGAAATCCTGCAAAGCCTCTGCTAACGCAGCTTGTGACAGCCTAGGGAGTTGCTCGACTTCGTGAGTTGATGCACGAGAGAGAGCACTGTTGTTATGGGGCTAAAAAGGTAGCACGGTGCAGGGCGGAACAGGGATTGTTCGTGTCAGAGGGGACTAGGGAGTGATCCTTTTTTTTGAACGGAGACCGTCGACCTCCATCAGCATGTTCCTTTATCCCCAGAGCATTCCTGTTACTTCGCTGTCATCTGCATGATGCATTTTACTTAGCGTTGAAATTCTCTTGAAACGTCCATTGTTTACAGTAGCTGATGACCCAGGAACTTCACCTCGATTTTCTTCCCCTTGCCTCAGCTGCTCGCGTTCAAATTCTTGAGACTCTCATCAGCGTCACTTCTCTTTTGGTATGTCGCCTTTCTCATCTCGCTGTCGTCATCATCCCTCTTTCTTGCTCTTAGCTCCCTCGCCCTTGCCCGGTATCGCTTGTGATCCACCATGTCACGTCCCCTGCCCCTCTCCCCTCCTCCCAACCACCTTCTTCTCCCGTCTGCCCATCGTCGCCCATTGCTTCTGCAAGCCCATGCCCCGTAAGTGCCGCAGCAAGACGTTCAGAATCGTCTCACCGCAAGCGCCCTCGACTCTTCCTTCCAGTCGATCTCCTGCATCGTGATGTCATGCACTGCTCATCAGCAAACAAGCGAGCGATTATGTACCTTACGCATCCGCTCATCCCTCAGTCTATGATATATCAGGTGCTGGAAAATCTTACAGACCTGTAAGGAGGCGGCGGGAGAGTGCATGGAGTTGTACCGAGAAGGCCGTTATACGTCTGCCTGCTCGTGCCTCCAACTCGTTTCCTATTGGGACGCAGCTCCCATGCCCATCTTCGTTCCCGGTATCGCTTGTGTTCCACCATGTCACGTACCCTGACTCTCTCTCCCCCCTCCCAACTACCTCCTTCTCCTCCTTGCTCATCGTCGCCCATTGCTTCTGCAAGCCCATGCCCCGTAAGTGCCGCAGCAAGACGTTCAGAATCGTCTCACCGCAAGCGCCCTCGACTCTTCCTTCCAGTCGATCTCCTGCATCGTGATGTCACGCACTGCTCATCAGCACACTCGCCCTATTCTAGTAAGCATTCACCTCATGCGCTTCAAGCTTCGAATTGTCGCTGCCCTCCTCATGAGAGGTCTGCTGGTAACGTGTAAGGAGGCGGCGGAGGAGTGCATGGAGTTGTACCGACAAGGCCTTTACCTGGTGATCCGCTTGTGCGATCTTCTGCTGTCCTGTAAACCACAGCTCCTCCTGCACTTCTTGTTCCCGGTATCGCTTGTGTTCCACCATGTCACGTACCCTGACTCTCTCTCCCCCTCCCAACTACCTCCTTCTCCTCCTTGCTCATCGTCGCCCATTGCTTCTGCAAGCCCATGCCCCGTAAGTGCCGCAGCAAGACGTTCAGAATCGTCTCACCGCAAGCGCCCTCGACTCTTCCTTCCAGTCGATCTCCTGCATCGTGATGTCACGCAAAACGGCAGGCTAGCGCATTGGCAGCAAGTATATACCTCATGTGCCCGCTCCTCCTTCAGCTTATCGTAGTGCTCCTGTTGAAACCTCTGCCAACATTCTGAGGAGGTGAGAAGAGAGTGCACGGTATGGTACCGAGAATGGAGTATGATGACTGAAACCCTTGCTGCTGACCAAACGGTTCAACAGCAATGCCCCCAGCTCATCTGGATCCATCGAGAACAGCTCCTTGGAGTCCGCGGCCCCGTCGGTGTTGCGGTCAAGCTTTGGAGTAGAATACGGAGAGTCGGAGAACGTCTTCGACGAGAGAGAGCGTGGTCGATCATACAAGCAGTAGGAAGGAAAGCATGGCGACGTGAACCGAGTTGGGGTACTCGAGGGGACTGGATAAGTTGCGTAGGAGGGCCTTGAGGAGTAGACTTGCGAGGAAGGAAGGAGGGGAGGGGGGGATAGGAAGGAGAGAGAGAGAGACGAGGGCCCTTTCCATCTCCCCCACCACCACCCAACTTGCAGTCCCGCCATCCTGTACAAACCGGACGCGTTGTAGTAGTAGGGGTAGTAGTACTACTGGTTGTAGGTGGTGCTCAGGGTCAGGCTCAGGGTGGTGCTAGGTAGTCTGAGGGAAGTGAGGGGATGCGGGCCGTGGGTCTCCAAGAATGGCACGCGTCAGCGCTGTGCGAGGTTGAAACCTGGGGAGGAGAAGAAAACGACATGAAGATTGAGATGATGAGGATCGTGATGATGAAGATTGAGATAACAATTGTGGAATTCATAAGTTATGGCAACCGCGTTGATGTGGATGATATGGATGATATTAGTAAGGGTAGTGCATGTTGTTGTGGCAATGGTGGTGGTAAGAATGATGGTGCTGTCGCTTGGACTTACGCTGACAACGACGATGACGATGACGATGTCAATGTCAATGTCAATGTCAATGTCAATGACAATGTCAATGTCAATGACTATGACACTTATGCCGATGATCGAGGTGATTGAGATGATTATGCTTGAGATGATCGAGATGATCGAGATGATGATGATTTAGGCGATGACGATGACGATTATGATGGATGGTGGTGTGGTGAAATTTTGAGGAATGAAATGGGTTTGGAGTGTAAACGTGGTGAGTCTACGATGATAGAACGATGCCGGTGGTGGTGGTGGGCATGATCAATGATGTTTGTCTGAGTCGAGCAAGTCAGGGCTAGTCGAAGAACGTGTGTGGCATGACTGCTGATACAACCTTCTTCAGCAGGATGGGGTTGGTCGCAAACATGAGAGCTCTGGTTGCTTCCTCAAAGTTCTTGGCTCGGGTATGAAAGGTTCTTCACTGCTAAGACTACACACTTCTTCGCTATAGTCTTTTCTTCATTTCCGCTTCTTTCCTGCTGCTTGCCGTTTGTCTCTTTCTGCATAAGTCGCAGTATGATTTCACAGCGGCAGCTGATCGGGTTGGCGCTGGGTGTGTTGGTGCTATGGAACTTTCTACTGTTCCCTGCCTTTCATGGCGCTTCCGAAGAGCCGCATGACGATACAGTGCTGAGCGACTGGGGTGAGAGCGAAGAAAGCAGGATGACGTATGACAGCTTTGGCTTTGAGTGGGCGCCGGTGCTGGACAGGAACGTGATTCGGTGCGAGAACCTCGAGAAGCTGTCGGAGTGGAAGGGAGAGGTACTGAAACGAGAGGCAGAGGACGAGGCTCGGTGGAAGGGGCTGGACTGTGAGGGGCGGTTGAGAAGGCAGCACGTGGAGGCTGTTCCTCTGAGAAGAAGTAAGTTTGGCAAGGTCTGCACGAAGTTGAGAGCTCAGTTGAATACCTCGGATGTTAGTCAAGAGAGCATGGAGGAATCCCTGCCCCCATCGCTGGCTGGGACTTGGAGGAGCTGGCAGTGCTCCTGCTACTTTGATCGCAAATGCCACCGGGAGATCGTGAAGAGGAGAGTACCTGCGATCCACTCGTCCATGACAGCCAAGGGGATAGCGGCCAGCGTGCAGGGAAGGAGGAGGAGGGAGAGGCTACAGCCGAGCGGGAAGAAACAAGTTGTGGCAACTGTGTTGGGATCGACGTCGATCAACGTGAAGTTCCGGACCTTGGAGGATAACCCTCTGTTCACTAAGTTGCTGCCCTCCCTGAGGAGGACTATGGATGGGGAGTTCGAGTATTGGGTGCTGGTAGGCTACGACACGGGAGACCTTTTCTACGACGATGAGCGGACGTTGACTTCTCTCAAGAAGTGGTTCAGGAGGAACGTCGAGGCTCCGAGCAAGGAGAAAGGGATTGACTGCAAGTTGATCTTTCTCAACTTCACCAACGTCCTCCGCAAGCCAGGCCCTGTCTTCAACTTTGTGGCTGCCTCAGCAGTGTCGGACGGGGCTGACTTTCTGTTCCGAGTCAATGACGACACCGAGATCGCGAGCTGGGGGTGGGCGAGCAAGATGAGCTCGACGTTAGCTGGGATGTCTCCGTCGCTGCTCGGGGTAGTGGGGCCGTCAGGACGGGGCGACTCTTCCTCGGAGCACCGGTACATGCTTACCCACGACTTCGTGCACCGGACGCACATGCGGATCTTCGAGACGTACTACCCGCCCGTGCTGAGCGACTGGTGGATGGACGACTGGATCTCGCGGGTGTACGGGAGGAGCAGGACGCGGAAGCTGGGGGACGTTTTGGTGGTACATCACACAGAAGTCGTCGCGAGTTTCCATGGGACCGATGCGGGGGACCCAGTGAGGTACGCGGTTGACTGGGCGCACAAGAAGTACCTGGAGCATGAAGTGCACAAGGGGAGCAGGAGGATCAAGGAGTTTGTGCGAGGAGAGTGCGAGGGAGGAGAGTGCCCCGAGAAGAGCGAGAGGAGGGTGAAGCGAGGAGGCAACCGACAGGACGCAGGCACAGACATTGAGGACGAGAACACGTGGAGCAGAGGGACAGCAGAAGATGATGACGCGCTGCTGTCGAGAAACCTGACGGACTTGGACGAGAGACTCTACGGCAACACGGAGAAAAGGATGAGCATGGAGCCAATATGACGCTTCTGGTCCTTCAATACAGGTCTCCTCCCTCCTCCCTCCCCTCCTGTTGGTTCCTTCCAGTCCTCCTCTTCCCTTCCCCTTCCTCTTTTTCTCCTCCTCCCCTTTCCCCACATTTTTTGTTTCAACGTCTCATATGAACTGTAAAGAATAATATGACCTCGCTTGTTCTACCCCCAGCGCGCGAGGGCGAGAGCCCATTGCTCCCTTGTCATCCTCCCCCCGCCTCCTCCCTCCAATATGCCGAAGAGATCAGCAACGCGATCCAGAGGGAGGGACGTGGCGAGACAGTCGACGCCCTGGTGGAAGTCGAGGAGGTCGATGGCCTCGTCCTCGTCGAAGTCGAAGAGAGTGAAGCTTTCCTCCTCTCCTAGCTTGAGACACTCCATCGCTAGAGCCTGCCGGCAGAGATGACAAGATCGAGAGGAGAGCGGGTGGTGAGGAGGGAGGGGATAGAAGGCAAAGTCTAGAGAGAAGAGAGAGGAGAGAAGACGCAGGCGAGACAGACGAGCAGGTGTTTAGGCGATGTGCTGCAGTCACATGCAACAGGTGGATAGGCAAGGGGTGAAGAAGCAGTAAGGAGAGAAGTGAAGCAAGAAAGAGGAGAAGGAGGAAAAGACGGAGGAGGAGAAGGTGGTGGTATCGGTTACCTTGACCAGGTCGTTAAGATCTTCCATTGGCTTGCCTGGCATCCCTGCATCTTCTTCATGCCCTTCCTCCGCTCCTTCTCCACTAGACCTGGTCAGCAAACATCAGAATTCATTTGCAGCAACTCAGCTGCAAGACATTCTCTTCTCCTTGAGCAGCGCCTGCTGTACCAGTCTCCTCGTCATCCTCTCCACGCTCTCCATGTCCACGTCTGCCGGGGCCTCCTGCCCTCGAAATGACACGAGCAGAACTGGCGACATCGTTACCTGCTCGAGGAGACGGCGACTGACTTGCAAGCAGAGCGCGTCCTCGTCACCTTCAGCTGAATGCTCAGACAGGCGGAAAGGGGAAAAGATATGCTCATGACAATGTGGGTAAAAGAGAGTAAGGAGGTGAGAAGGAAGGGGCAGAGGCAGAGGTAGAGGTAGAGGTAAAGGTAGAGGTAGAGGTAGAGGTAGAGGTAGAGGTAGAGGTAGAGGTAGAGGTAGAGGTAGAGGTAGAGGTAGAGGTAGAGGTAGAGGTAGAGGTAGAGGTAGAGGTAGAGGTAGAGGTAGAGGTAGAGGTAGAGGTAGAGGTAGAGGTAGAGGTAGAGGTAGAGGTAGAGGTAGAGGTATGGAGAATGGCGACACAAAGAGCACCATGATTTGGTTGAGACAACGCGCGATGAAGACAGTGAGAGAGCATGAAAATCTCCTGCGCCCACCGTGACTTCCTGCTGTTGCCCATCCGTTTCCTTCCCCTCCTTCTCTCCCGTGATCGAGCTTTCCTCCCTCCCACCCGCTGCTCCCCGCTCTATCCGCCTCTTTCTCCTTCTTTGCCTCCTTCAGATTTTCACCTCAAGCACTGAGTCGACCAGCAAGTTGGATGATTTCTAAATCAACTTGTTAGCTGTAGGAGCCCTTCCTCCGCCCCTTCAACTCGCACTCCATCCCCTTCTTAGACCTCATTTTCACCCTATGCTTACCTCCATCATCATCAGCGTGTTTCTAACATCTTCATCTGCTGTACTTGGTCGCCCATGTTCCTCGCCTTGAACGAGTCTGCTCCAAGTTCTCACCTCCACCTCGCCCCTTCTCCCTCACCTCCTCGTCCTCAATCTTCGTATCGATGCCTGGAGTAGACAGCAGGCCTGCCCACCAACAGTCAGATCACCTCCTCCTTTGTTCCTCCTATCTCGTCTACCTCCTCCATCCACTCGCCAAGAACATCCTGATAGTTTTCGGACTCCTAGGACAACGATCAGAAAATTAACACAAGTGAAGCAGGAGAAAGAAAGTCGAAGGTGGAGGAGCAAGAGGGATGCGGCAACAGACGGAAGTGGAGAAGTAGTAGAGAAAAGGAGGAGAGGAGAGAAGAAATGTACCGAGATGTGAGATTCAAGTATTTCAAGAACCTTCAAGAAAGGTCAATCGTTTCCTCCCCTTGAATCTTCTTTCCTCTCCCCCTTATCTCCTCTTCTCCCTCCCTCCTTCCCTCGTCTTCCCCTCTGACTAAAATTCGGTTTTTCTCTCCTCCCTCTTCCCTTATCAGATTTCAACAGTAGTCTACTGCTCCTACTTCTCAGTCCTCTTGCTCCTCTTTCATCGACTCACATCCATGAGCTTGACCGAGTCCGAATGTTTCTTCATCGCGGCCAGGCAAAATTTCATCTTCAACACCTGCCGTTTCTGTCAGGTTGGATCCTTGCTTCCTTTGCTATTTCTCTTCCTCTTCGCCCCCCACTTTCTAGTTTCAAACTCTTCCAGCTCCATCTTTCTCTTGAGATTTCAAGATCTCTTTCCTCTTGTCAACACTCGCCAAACCCCGTGAGGCACGCTAGGCTCGTTCCACCCCGTACTCCTCTCATCTTCTATCACCTCCTCCTGCAGCTACAACCACTGTAACGTCGCACCTCCTCTTGGTTCCACCATCTGTTCAGTCGGTAGCAGGGGCGCAAGGATAGTGCGATGGGTCCAGCCAGACTCTGCAGGCTAGTCAAACTTCGCATTTTGATGATCTTTCCAACCTGGGACGGGGACAGCGAGCTAGGAGGACGATCAACCTCGTATGATTGTGAACTGAAAGCTGAGATCAGATAGAGCAGAGAAAGAGAACAGATAAGAGGAGAAGGCAAAGTCGAGGTAAACAAAACGTGAGCTGCAGCAGGGGCAGCTGGTTGTGCAGGAGAAGGGCAAGGCAGAAGGGAAGGAGGAAGAGAAGGGGAAGGGAGGAGGAGAGAGGTACAGGAGCTGGAGGACGGCCGGATCTTTGAGGTGTCTGTTGACCATGAAGACGAGTCGCTCGAATCTCTGCGCGTTGAGCGGGCGAGTACTGCGAGGGTCACGGGCATCTTCTGACACCCTCCAGCTCGAGGTCTGTGGGCGAGGAGTCAGGGATGACGACGAAGACTGCGTCGAAGGCCGGGACCCTCCCCTGCTCATGCTCTGCCTGCCATGATGCGCGTGCTGGGATCTCACGCCCTTACTTCCTGGTTGCTTAAGGCTGAGCAGGACAGAGAAAGTGTTTCTGCTGCCCTTGTGGCTATTTGACGCCTTGAAGTTGAAGAGGGTCGACACACCCAGCATCTCAATCCTCGCTTCCCTGACCTCCTCCAGTGTCAGCAAAAACTCGCTGTATGACGCGATCCCTTCCCCGATCGTGTCTCGGTGCATCCCGTCCATGGTCAGGCTCACTAACTTGTCCCCAGGTCGGAGAGCGCTGGAGGAGGCGGCAGGTGAGGCAGGGAGGATGCGCTCGACGACCAGCAATTTTCTTCTTCCATCGTCAAATTGAGACGATTGATACACCGATCTTCTGCACTCCTTCCACACAATCCCGAGCAGGTTGTCTGTAAAACGTCCTCCTAGAGTCACGCTAGAGCGCGTTCGCTTTTGTCCTGTCCCCCTGCCACTCATCGAGTTTACGGTCCCCGACGTTCTACCTCAGTTCGCGGGCAGAGATAGCCTCTATCTGATCCCTGTATCTTGAAGGTTCGCTTCTATCTCAAATCACTGCACATGGTGCTGTCGACATGAACCGTCAAAGCCGCATGACGATAACTGATTATTCTGCTTCACTGTCTAGAAAGACTTAAATCAGTTCCCCCACTTTCACAAGTTCAAGTTGATGATTACATAGTTCAATATATCTCTCAAAAATAACACGGACTTTAATTCGAATTGCCAACAAGACGCACCATGAACTTTTACTTCGCTGACAACTCAATCTCAAGCATCTCTTATACACTATTCCTTCTTTGTTTTCTTCATCTTGTCTGCGCCTTCTTGTCGAGTTCTGTAAATTCATTCCTTGTCTTTCTTCTCTTGTCTTGTGTGTTTCCTCCTCCTGCCTCCTTCTCTCCCTCAACTTTTCTCTGCTCGCTTCACTTCCATTACAGCCGTTGTAAATCTTCTATAAAAAGGTACTACAGTAACAAGTAGCCCGGATCTGAGTACACGCCCGGCGCCGGTGGCGGCCGGGCCGCCGGGCCCGGACCCATGGCACCGTGCCCGGGCCGTGTGATGAGGGGCCCGGCCGGGCCGCCGGGTCCGGTCAGTACGGTCCGATCACGGGGGCTGCCCAGCCTGGCAGAGGATGATCGGATCGCCGGCCACCACGCCGGGTTTGGGATCGCCGCCCGGCCGGGATCGCCGGCCACCCGGTCCGACGCGGCCCCCGGTGCCAGGCTGGCACAGTGCGCCAGCGGCGGCCCGGCCCGCCGCAACCGTTGAAGCCAAGTCAAGTTGGGCCGGCGGCCCCCCCGGGCCGGCCCCCCCGGTCCGAGTCCGACTCACGCGCCGCACTGCCAGGAGTGAACTTGGGCCGCCCGGCCGGGGGCCCGCCAGCCCCCGTCCCCGGAAGCGGATTAGGCGGCCTAAAGCCCGGCTGGCTTGCCCGGATCGGCCCACTGCGGCCGCGGGCCCGCCTGCCACTGTACTGTACGGTACTCAGAGCCATGGCACTGTACTACGGTACGGTATTCAACGACTCCGCCGGTATGATCGGCGGGCCGATCATCCGGACTGACGAACAGCCGATGGGCGACCGTCTGACCAGACCGTACTGAGTCCGATCGGGGGCACTGCAACCGGCACGGCCCATCATCCGATCCGAGTCCCGGCGGTCCGGGCCCCGCCGGGCCGGCGGCGGCAGCAATCATCGCCACCGTCACTGACTTGCTTGCCGTCACGGTTAGTCAAAATTATTGCCTGCCACATGTGTGACGGGGCCTCGATGTCCCGCCTTCCATGGCTCTGATGCTCATGCTGGTCTCCCGCGCACCGGATCATCGTGACAGCTTCAGTACTGTCCTCCTCCTGAGTCCTCCTCCTAACCCTCAGGGCCTACCCCTCCAGGCTACCCCGCTTCGGTTGCCTCGTTTTACCCACAAAGCCCTTTCTTCGCTAATCCATTGTCTCTATTGGCCCCACCCGTTCTTCAAGGCTTGGAGTTGATGAAAACACAAGAATGCTCGGTAAAAGCAGCTTCCTGCCGTCAGCTCCTTCTCGATTTGTTGTGACGACGCTGTTCATCTTATTCCTTGCCCTTTTACTCTTCTCTGGCCTCCAGACGTTGTCTGAGGAAAGAAGTTCGGAACGAGAGGGAAGAGGGGGAGCAACGAGAGAAGCTAGGGGAGGATCTCTGTACGAAGAGACAAGGGAAGCTGGAAGACAAGTGTTGAAAGCAAGAAGCGCAGGAGGATTGCATCAGAATCTCTCTTCGCCCTTGCTGACCACAACCCATACCTCTCGAAACATCTCTGCAGCTTGGAGGCTAACGGCGTCGCACCCCAACATCGACTTCGCCTGTCAATGGGCCCCCCAGACACAGGAGCAATGCACGGACATGGTACTAAAGCGCCTACGAGCCGACTGGAGGGAGGATACCGAGAAGGCGGTTGGGGGCATGAAGAGCGAGGAGGCATTGCAGGGCATGGACAGGCGGGCATGGCGTTGGTTGTTCTTCGGAGACTCGACAGTCATGCGACTCTTCTCCTATTCCAGGCTTGCGAATGATTTGGTTTCACAGGGCGGGAGGAGGGTGCAGCTACTTCACGGCGATAGGTTTATCTGCGACACAAGGGAGAGCCGGAGGTGTGCCAATCAGCACATCTTCGGGCTGACAACTGCGCGAGTGTGGTCACCTCCTCGTTTCGAGCTGGGAGAGGGACCCATCAAATTTGGGTTGACGCATCCCCACTGTCAAGACTGCAGCGGATGTCATTCGCTCTTCCTCCTCTGCAGGCCGCGCAGGCAGAGCACAGAAAGGTTCAGTCCAGCAGAAGCCCAGGTGAGCTACGGAGGCTACCTCTCGATCGAATATGCAAGGGACGTTGAAATGCAGAGCGAAGAGTCGACGACAACACAAGAGAATATTGCTTCCTTCCTGGCCCGTTCCTTCAATTCACCAGCCCTCCTTTCTGCCTGGAAGCCTCCAGTCTGTATCGTCAGTGCAGGCAACCATGACGTTGCTATCCCTCACATGCGCCTATCACAGTACGTTGAAAACGTGAAGTGGTACCTCCTCCTCCTCCTCCAACAGTGCTACCATATCCTGTGGCTGACCAACACTGCACCTGCCTCCAACAACTTCTCACAGAAAGTAGAGCAAACGCAAAATTGGGACATGGCGGTGAGGATGATGCTGCAAAATTCAACGGAGTTGCGCAAGAAGACGAGCGTCATAGACGTGTTCGAGGCATCAAGGGTCTGGCGACACGCAGACAATGTACACATGGATGAGGAGTGGTACCGGAGGCTGGGAGGTTGGTGGATGTCATTAATCCAACGACTCCAAGTGAAGACGAAAGCCAACTGAAGGCGAGGGCCCCCGTGAGAAGCGAGGATGGCAGCCGGGAAGTGATGCGGCTTTTGTTAATGAGTGTTTGTTTGCCCATGCTGTCATCGAATTGTTGTGACAACATCTGATATCTTGAGTGAATCGAATGACTTGCTTAAGTAGCAACTACTTTCTTCCATTGCTTGCACGCTTGGCCTTCTCGCTGACCAGTGGTCTTCAGTCCTGCAAGGGGAATAAGTAGAACCGTGATTCACAATTGCTATCACTTTCAAGGCAGCACCAACTATCACTCAATATGCCACATCTTTCGCTGGGCCTGAATGTGGTGCTGTTCTGAGAAGATGCAATATCCCACACGCTGGATCGTAATGGAGTGTTATATTCAAGCTGTCACATGGGTCACCGGGTTGCACCAAGAGCGGAGTGTGGTGTTGGGATATGACGAGTTGAAGAGAAGCCCGGCGGTGTTATGATTACGTGCCGCCGTAGATTTCATTGACAAAAAACAGCAGCAACGTTGTAACTTCATAGAAGTTGTCTCGCATTATGATTGGTCACGGTAGGTACAGATGTTGACAGGAATAGAAACATTCACTATAGACATGATACCAATGACTACAGACCCGGTTTGATCCCCAAAGACCAATTGGAATTCTTCATATTATTGACTATAAGGCTGAACGTCGAGATTTTCCCGGCATAAAAGTTCCAAGGGCGCCATGGCGGGAAGCTACAGGTAGCGATATCTTCATGAACTATGGTGAGAAATCGGGACGTAGCATACAGACCACGCATAAGCAATATCAAAAATGAGATGAGGAGGGTCTTGGAACGTGTTGATAAGAAGAGAGCAAGGTGAAGGAAGGAAAGGGGATGATACAACATCAAAACTTAGCTTCACACCACCATGCACTGTGACCAGAGGAGTGGCTTTGTTTATAGAACATGCGCAGTTGGCTGCTTTAATAAGCCGAGTGGATTCAAAGCTCGATTTTAGAAATTCAAAGCTCGATCTTAGAAATCACTTTGAATTGCGTTCGAGCAAAACATCCTGCAACCCCACTTGAGATGGAATGTGAGAGCGAAGCATCACTCCTCGACCATTCTTCTCTGATTTGGTGCTCTGGTGCTCATAATCCTTTAGATGAACTGAAATCCGATTTGAAAATTCCGAATCAAATGGAGAAATTATCTGCTGGAATGCGCTTTTGGGTGCATACCGACGATTCAGACATATGGCACGAGGGAGAAGTGAGCTGACCAAGACTTGCTTGATCCTTGATACTGATGACTCTGATGCAGATCAAGCGATCTCTCCAGCAGGATTCACATGTCATCGAACTTACGCTGGCAGATGGCAGAGAGGTGAGGGGATAAACGTGCCTAGAATTCGGACAGTGAAATGCTCCTGTCAGGTCACCGTGCCCGTGAACAAGGCAGTTCCACGAGACAGTGACGACGTGTGCAGCAGAGATGATCTCATGCGCCTCTATCACTTGAATGAAGCAAACATTCTCCGTGGGCTGGCTCTCCGGTACGTTACAGCTCTGATAGCTGTCACCGTGGTCGTCTACCTCTTATGCATTGCTGCAGCTTCTTCAAGGATCAAGTGTACACATATGCAGGTCCCATACTTGTGGCGGTCAATCCATGGCATGAGCTTTCTATCTACGATCATCAACACTCCTTCCGCTACAACGATGCCGAGGAAGCAAGAAAACTGCCTCCACACGTGTTCTCCTTGGCCGAAGTTGCCTTCCGCGACATGGTTGGAAATCTCTCTCCTCAGAGCATCCTTGTGAGTGGTGAGAGTGGCTCAGGCAAGACTGAGACCTGCAAGTATCTTATGCAGCAGTTTGCCGTTCTCTCCTCCTCTCATCACGACCAGGTCTCTCCTAATTCGGTGCATGCGATCGAGCGGCAGGTGCTCGAGTCAAATCCCATCCTTGAGGCCTTTGGTAATGCTAAGACACTGAGGAACGATAATTCTTCCAGATTCGGCAAGTTTATTGAACTCTACTTCGAGACCAGCCCTCAGGACATCCAAGGAAATAGTTCGAGCGAGACAACGCTTGCGTCCCGCTGCTACCTTGGAGGTGGAGCGATCTTTACATATTTGCTGGAGGTACCACGTTTTGTGAAGGTCAGCCATAGCGAGCGGAACTATCACTTTCTTTACCAGCTTTGCGCTGCGGCACAGCAACTTGAAGAAGGGAAACAGGGACAAAGGGGAGGCAGAGGCTCAGCTGCAGAGTTTCTGACGGACCCTTCTGTACGCGCTTCTCTGTGCTTGGGAGGTGGAGCAGGAGATTTCAATCTGACCGCAATGGGAGGCTGCCTGCAGCTTGAAGGCATGGACGATGTTGAGGGCTTCTACCGGACAATGCGTGCTATGTCCTTCATAGGAATATCAGCTGGAGACCAGCTAGGGCTTCTCCAAACGGTAGCTGGTCTACTGCACGTTAGTAACATCCAGCTGCACGCGTGGAAACCCAACGAATCGCCGGCATCTTCTAGATCAGGAGCCGCAAACTACAGCGGGGAAGACGTTGCTCGTCTGCAAGGCGAAGACGCGTCGCTCTCGCATGCTGCACGATTACTTCAGTGCGACGAGGATTCTCTGCGGCAGGCACTCTGCTCAAGAATGGTTCGAGCGCGAGAGGAAACAGTCAAAGTTCCAAATACGCAGGAACAGGCGCTGCGCTCGCGAGACTCGTTGTGCAAATGGATCTATGGGAAGCTGTTTTTATGGCTGGTGGACCGTGTCAACGAGACGCTGCTAAAGGAAAAGAGGGAGAGGAAAGAGGGGAAGGAACAAAACTTGCAGATCAACATTCTTGACATCTTTGGGTTTGAATACTTTGAGAGAAACAGTTTTGAGCAACTTTGCATCAACTATGCGAATGAACGCTTACAAAGCTACTTCAACTCCACGATGATCAAGGTGGAGCAAGAAGAGTACGAGAAGGAGGAGATTCCCTGGACTCACATCGACTTTAATGACAACCTGCTTTGCGTCTCTCTCATAGAGTCCCGCTCGTCTGGTATCATTGCCATCCTCGACGAGGAGGGTCGAGTCCCGCGAGGAAGCGATGAAGGGTTCATGCGGAAAGTGCGGGAGATATCGTCGCCTCACCTTCGCCTTCCCATCACTCGCGATGATGTCTTTATCATCCAACACTATGCAGGCGAAGTGAGCTACGAAAGCTGCGGCTTTCTTGAGAAGAATAGGGACGTTCTTCTCCCGGACATTCGCGAGCTTCTTCGTGCCTCCTCATCTTCCATCATCCTCGAGCTGTTTGACACCGAGCTTCGAGCTGGAAACGAACGGAGTGGTGCCATTGTTGCCGAGGGAAACCGGAGAAGGGGAGGAGTTGTCGCGATAGAGACAGTGGCTTCTCATTTCAGGCGTCAGCTAGGAAATCTTGTCGGCTTGATCAGCAAGAGCAGGACTCACTTCATCCGCTGCATCAACCCGACAGAAGAAAAGAAGCCAAGCAAGTTTGAGGAGAGACATGTAAGAGAGCAACTTCGATGCAGCGGATTGATCGAAGCTACGAGGCTCATTCGTGTGTCCTTTCCCATTCGTTTCAGGTGTGCATGAATTATTTCACCGCTTGACCTCCTCGTAGTCTTTCTTGCTCGTCATCACACTTTTTCTTCCTCACGTGATTGCTCTACCTTGTATCATTCTCGTCGTCGTTATCATCCAACGCATTTTCATCTGGTTTCTGTTTCATGTTACTCTCTGAATTCTTGTTGCTCCTTTTGATAGCTTCGAAGACTTTCGTCGACTATTCGTTGCAATCTTTTTTGGCGGACGTTGGGCAGGTAATCAAACAATGCGAAATCAAAACAAGCAGTGAAGGATTGGACCATGATAGAGAACTGAAGAAATTTACAACCTTGCTATCATGACAAAATCTAATTCTTATGATTGACAGGAATTTTTTCCATCAGAGATCTGAAGCTGAAACAAGTCTCCTTGAAAGAAGATATCGAATCGCTAGTGAAGGCTGTTGGCCTGTGTCAAACTGAATATGCGATTGGGAAAACAAAGATATTTCTTCAAAGAGAAGCGTCTAGACAACTGCATGAGGTCTTTGAATTTTTTCAGTGATAGAGGCTTAGATCTTGGCAGATAAAACTTCACATAGAGCAGACAGCAACTAGATACATTACATCAAGCATCATGTCGTCGTCTTGTCGTGTTCGTTTCTTGTCTCTTAAGCGTTCAACTTGTAAACTGCAAGATCGCCTGATCGCTCTCTTGACAAGAAGAAGGTAATTCGAACTTTGTCTTCGGTCTTGCCAAATTTTCACTCGTTTCAAGATTGCTTAATTGTTCTAAGTTTAGTTTCCTTCCTACAGGTTTATGGAAGATGTCAAATTGTTTCGTCTTTGCAAATTGCAGGCAGCAATTCGAATGAGCGCTAGAAGAAAGATATTCATTACACAAGTCTCAGCGGGTATTGTTTTGTACCTCCAACTACTGAACCTCTCTCTTCTCATGCCTCCCCTCGGACCTTATATCCTTCCAGCTCTAACTAGCGCTGGCAGTCAATATTCTCAACTGCTTCTTGCAACGATTCACGTCTGGACGCACTTTATTTCTACGTCGAGTATGGTTGGGCTGGGTGGCTCAATCCAAAGAAAGTAGAGGCAGAGAGGAGGAAAGTTCGCAGCTCTCCGATGCGGAATTTCAGGCAGAATCTAAGTGCTCCGAATGGAAAGTTGAAAGTTTTTCTTTCTGCGGAGACGTCCAGTGGTGAGAGGGAGAAGGGATGAAGCAGGAGATCTAACGAGGGCACAGGGGAGAAGACGTGGAGGCCACACTCTTTGAGACTCCAATCCGCAGCAGGGGAGGCCTTCCATGGCGAGAAGGAGGAGGGTATGAAGGCTTTACTCCGTCAATCTCAGAGGTAGCGACAGGGTTGCCTCATCACCCGATCACACAAACTTTCAGGTGGACGCTCATGGAAACGAGGAAGGAGAGCTTGAAAAGGGCCGAGGCGGAGAAGATGTGGGTGGTCGAGGAGGCAGCCAGTTCTCCTTCTCCGATGTGATTCAACCTCGAGCTGCGGTGAAAACAATCGATGGCTTCCTTCTCAGGTTAGTGTTCACCCTGCTTCTTATTTTGTGTCGGTCGTTCCGCAGTTCTCTCGACGTTTTCTTCTTGCTTTGCTTTCCTCACGGTTTTCTACAGTCCGAGGGACCATGTTCTTGTAGCAAAGCGAAGGAGGAAGGCTGAGGTTCTTGTGATTCTCAGAGCACACAACAAGTTGAGCTTGAAGTAGGTGGAACAGCTCAGATACGAGGTCCAACTGTTGCGAGGAGAGAAGGAAGCGTTGCAGAGAGCTGCCAGGAGGAGGGAGGACGAGCACGCTAAGGAGCTTGCAGAGGTAGCAGAGGTCGTCAAGTCTCTGTCCTCAGAGCTCAACAATGCTGCTGGGAACGCGGAGCTCTTGCATGCTCGAAAAGAGGTCATCGGATATCCCTGACCTTGACTGGTGTTGACGTTGGTCGAGCAGGATGCCCTCCAATTGTATCGCCAAGCCGAAGAGGACAAGAGGCTTCTGCAAGGAAGACTGAAAGAGATGCAGGAGAGACTAGAAGAGCTGCAGGAAGAGATACAAAGACAGAAACAAAGCAAAGATGAGCAGGCGATTGAACAGAGGGAAGATGCTCAGCTGTATGCGCGCAAAGTTGAGGAGGCGACTCGACTTGCAGAAAGATGCAACAGGCGGTTGCCTGATATGAGGATGCCGATCTTCCTTCTCCTTGAGGAGCTAAAGAAGGCGGACGGGGATCTTACTCAAGTGAGGAGAGACAGCGAGCAGCTGGTGCTCGACGCCACCTGGAGATCTGAGGAGGCAGCGGAGAGAATGAGGATGTGGGAGGAGGCAGCGTCTTCTTCATTAGCAGAAGCAGAAAAGCTTCGAGAGCAGGCGAAAGGGGACTCGAAGCTCTTGGAGGAAGCAGCTGATGAGATTGAGAGGCTAGCGGCGAGGCTGCAGGAGGAGGAAAGGAGAGGCTTGTGTGCGGGAGAAAGGAGCGTCTTCCTGCAGGATGAGCTGCGAGAGGTAAAGAAGCAAATGAACTTGACGTGCCGCAAGCTCAAGGAGGAGCTTTTGCTTGATCTCGAAGACATTAGGACCATGGCTTCTGCATTGGAGCAAGAATACAGAGGCGATGAGACAAATTTGAATCTAAAGCAAGAAAGGGACGGCTCTGACAATAAGAATACGGATCGAAAACGAAGCATCCATGAAACGATTGGGAAAGATGAGAGTGCAACTGACACTGCAATGGCAAAAAGTTGTTATGATGCAGTTAGGAGGTGTATGCCGGAGATGAAAACTTTGTGCGATCAAATCTCGCATGCAGCAGACACCATGCTAGACGAGATGAAGGTATGCTTTGAAGTTGACGACAATTTACCTTGAACGATATGCACGTTTGATTGTTTTGGCATGATGTTGTGTTTGTTGAACCGGATTACCGGGGGCTTTTATCAGCTCTGATTTTTGGTCCAGCAGGATGACGCCTCTGATCAAATACCGAGTCACCGTCTCCTGGAGTTCTTTCTTAACCGCTTGCGTATTATGTTTCAATTGCTTGAGGAAGAGACCTGTTCTCTCTCCACGTCTTCATCGTCTCGCTGTCACCTCCCTCATCCTGTGGAGATCAGTGTAGCGATCGAAGAGAGAAGGAAACAGCTCGTCCTTTCCTCCTTGTCATCTTTTTTCTCATATCATGACTCACAAGCCATGATGGTATTGCTCCAGAATTTTGAGGATCAGCTTCAGAGGAATCGCGAGGCGTATGAATCGCGAGACTGCCCTCCCCAAACCTCGCTCCGTTTGTCTTCAATACAAGCTCGTTCTCCTTCACCAGTTTCCTCTTGTTCAACAGGAGAAGGAGAGGGAAGGAGAAGGAGGAGGAAAGAATTGATAACCAGCGAGATGTTGCGAAGCTTCATCGATCTCTGCTCTGCTGCTCATCACATCATCAGTCGCAGTATTTCCTTGCAGCAGGACTGGGGGGCAAGATCAGCTTCTCGTTCGCCTCCGCTTCTCCCCGTTCCCAATGGTTTGACCTCATGCTCTCCGGACCTGCAAGAGGATATTCTTGTTCAAGATGAATTGCTTCCTTTGTTGGAGCAGATTCTACCTCTCCCGCAGCAGCACCAAGCTTCCAAGCAGGAATCCGGCTTGAAGCCCATTATCGCCCACCTTTGCCAAATCAGGTCAGAGATGAGAATCCTACGATCTCGAGTACGTCAAGCGGAGAAGGAGCGAGAAGCAGCGGAAGAGAGGATGAAGCGACTGGAGGGCCTCAGGAAGAAGGGGAACGAGGAGGTGAAGGTCATGCGAAGCTCTTTGGCGAGTCTCAAGAAGGAAGTGAATGCGGCAGAGCAAACGACTGAGCTGATGATGCGGTCTAAGGAGCTTCGCAAGGTTGAAGACGAAGCGACCAATAGCATGCTAGTGAGCATGGCGGAGAATGCTACGTCTCATGCAAAGCTAATGAGAGAGGAGGCTGAGAAATCTCTCAGGAAGTTCCGTTCCTCTGTCCTTCGCATTGCGTCAGCTTCATCTAACTCCTCCCGCGGCGAGGACAATCAGGAGGAAATCGCTGACTCAGTCCGACACAGTTTCTTGTCCATGGCCTCTTCTACTATTGTTGTTCCCTCCTCCTCCATTGCTACCGCTTCCTCTGCCTCAAGGCCCGACCCTCCTGTGTATAGTGCGCGCACTACGCGTGATGGCCTCGCCAAGTTGCAGCAGCAGGTGAAAGTTAGCTTTGAGATTTGCAGACGAGTGACGGTGTGTAGGTCGAGCTGGACGTTCAAGTGTCGAAAAGTGCAAACAAGCTATCGCCAGGTGGGTAATAAGAGTTATGATTCAGTTGTTGACAGTGCACATGTTATGAGACATGGGGAGTGAGCGGGGGGGGGGGGCGGGGGAAGGGATGACAGTCGAAGAAAGTGCTTGAGGAGAGGGAGGATCGGAGGGATAGGTAGAAGAATATCACAACAAGGCTGAACTTCAAGATTAGGATCCACCAACATCTGGGAGCTCTGGCGATCATCTGAGGATCTTGAGGTGATGGTTACCAGGTGCGTATGCAGGCCTTATGAATCTGAACATTTCCTCCTCCTCCTTTTTGTTGTGCCTTCGTTCTCTTTGCTCATTCTTGCAGTTTTCTTCTGAATCTCTCCAGCCTTCTTTCCTAAATATCTTCTTTTCTTGGATTCCAAAATCATCTCAGTCTAATTCACTATTTCTTGGAATTGCATGTCATATCGTGTTTCAAACTTTTTGCCATTTGTCGCTGCATGTGTTCATACATACATGAATCTGATTTTCGTTGCAGGAAACTGAAGAACTCCATTGGGACCAAGGACTCTTCATTTCCTGGTATAAGACCATAGATGTTTCCGCTTTCGCTCACATTCATGGCAGATAGAACTTTATCAGCTACTGTCAATCAACCGCCAAAAGGAAAAGAAGATAGGTAAGCTGTTCATGCGATACCTCGCAATATCTTACCTCACTTCAATGTTTTCGCTCAAATTCTCATGTC